TTTATGTGAAAACTCCGAACATCGACCACTATCTTCATGGAGGCTGTCGCAGAAATATTTGCAGCGGGTTGAGGGACCTCACATCAACCATGTTTCCAGCTCAGCGGTGCGCGAAGGTTGTCTGACATTTTCCCGTATATGGAAATTTCTCGAAATTGTCCATAACGAATTCTGGACCTGGACCACCACCATCCAGAGGGATTCCCTATGTATCCCGAACGTCCAAGGAAGCCCCCAGCAGAAGAATCCTACACCCCTAAACCCTAAACCCTATGGATCAATCTATAACAGCCCTTCAGGGACTGTAGAACCCTATTATAAGCCTATAATTCTAATATGTTATAGTATAGTATGGTCTATTGTAATATCTTAGTATCGATTAATATAGTATATTATGGTATAAACCATTAACCCTAAACCCAGAATCTTAAACCCTAAACCTTACAAATCTTGAACAGCCCTAGGAACATACAAAGAGACCTCGCCGAGGAGCTCTACAACCTGTCCAGTGCTCAGCGCTAGAGGCTTCTGGCGGTTGAAGGGCCAGTCAATTTTGGAGGGATCGAAGTCCTTGGCTGCTGTTTGAGGTTTAGGGTGTATAGGGTTTAGGGATCAGGGTTTAGGGTCAGGTCATTTGGGGTTGAGGGTTTAGGGATCAGTAGGTTTTAGGGATCAGTCGGCCGTAATGGGAAGGAATAATAGTGGGAGGAGGCAGAGTAGTGGCGGCAGCTCCTACTCTTAAATCCATGAAAATAAATCATCTTACTACCACTCCTACTCTTCCTGATCCGGCTACTGCTACAATCATGCTAGTAGCAGTAGTAGTTTCCAATCCCGTCTAGGAATTCTGATATTTGAAATGACCTCTATAGAATCTCCCAAAGCCCCCTGAACCTCTCTACGATGATGCTGCGAAGGTTCAGGGTTCAGAGTAGAGGAACATTGCTTCTCAACCGCCCATACACCTACGCGGACCTACGAAACCCTCATTCCAAACCCCGTGAAACTCTAAATGCTGATCCGCAAACCCATAACTCTCCACACTAACCCGAACCCTGAAGTCTAGTCAATTCAACCCACCCCGAAAGCCGGAACCTCGATTCCAAACCTTATGTCTCGTGCAGGGGGCATAGAGGGCAACTACCTTGGACTGGTCTGCGATCTTCGATGGATCATCATCCTCCTTGCTCTCCATGGCTCGGCCTGGAATACCACAACCAGGCCCCTCCTTGTACTCTTTAGATGGGGTATATGGTCCCTATTTGGGTCAAATATGGAGGGTAGATGTAAGGTCTAGGAATTTAGGGTCCGTAAAAAGGAGGAATGGATTCGGAGGTGTGATGGGGACCCTTTTCTTATTGACACGACATGCATTTGCGGAGCTCTATGAACATGAATTCCCGATGTCCCACCTAGACAATTGAATCTCCCCTTGAGCGCTTTCCCTTTGAGTCCAGTGCTTAGAGTGCTTGGAGGCTCGGTAGAGAACATAATTAGATAGTTTGGGCATGGGCCTTAGTCAAATGCTGCTACCAGGCTGAACCACTGCCCTACTGGTTGCTAGCAGGGAATGGAAGGGTGGGTTTTCCTGGTAGTCCGCCGAAAGCCGTAGTTTCCATGTGCTTTTGAAGTCTTTGATACTCACAACCAGCAAGCTTCTGCCAAACACTGTGCCTGCACATGAGCGATTCACTGTGTCATAAGGGCCACAGCCCAAGCCTTCGAAGCCTGCAGCCACAAACGAAAAATCAAGCCTGGAAGCAAGCTAGGTTCCCCAGTAAGCCCCTGAGTGTTTTTCTTCTTCATGCTCAGCCTTAAAAAGGAGATCCCAAAATCAAAAGAGGAAAGGGTACTACTGGGATACCTAGGAAACTATAGATTCGCTGTCTAGAAAGCCAACAAAAACCCTAAACCCTAAACCCTAAGCCAATGAAGCCCACTGAGACAGCTGGAAAAGGAACGGTGTCCTCTTCATGACCCCACTTGGCCTGCAGGCAAACCCTGAATCCTAGACTCCACATGTCTGCATATTCCCCTGGAAACCGGTTTAAGAGGAGCCTACATGTACTTCCCTCTCCCTAATATTCACCCCCGCGCACCCCAATATCAAGTATCCCAGTTGTGGTATACTATAATACGTTGGGAGTGCTTAATACATCACCAGGAATAAAGTTTNNNNGCGGAGGACGCGGAGTACGCGAAAGTGCGTTTTCGCTGGCCTGGCTAGCGGAGGAATTAATCACCTGGAATAAATTTATCATACTTTAATTGTTCCAGACGGAGGACTTGGTGGAGGAGTCTACGGGGGAAGGGGGTCTGCGCAGGATTTGTGCAGAACTTATGCAGGGATGCGCAAGTGCGACGAACTTTCGTCCTGCCGCACCGTGAATTTTGCTGCCGATAGTCGCCCTAATTGCAGTGTGTGAGACTTGTTGGGAGGATGTTTTGGGGTTGGTCAGAAGGTTTCTAGCCTGAAAACTCTGTGAAGGACGTCAAGGACAGTAATGTGAGGCTTGGTCAGAAGGTTTCTAGCCCGAAAACTCTGTGAGGAGGCTCAAGGACAGTCATGTGGGGGGCCCAACAAGATTTTTAGGCCTCAAACTTCTTTCGAAATGCATCACCAGGAATAAAGTTGCGTCGCATTTGTTTATTTTCATGTTGCGGAGGACGCGGAGTGCGCGAAAGTGCGTTTTCGCTGGCCTGGCTAGCGGAGGAAATAATCACCGGAATAAAGTTATCATACTTTAATTGTTCCGGACTGAGGACTTGGTGCAGGAGTCTACGGGGGAAGGGAGTCTGCGCAGGATTCTTGCAGAACTGATGCGGGGATGCGCAAGTGCGACGAACTTTTGTCCTGCCGCAGCGTGATTTTACTGCCGATAGTCGATCTAATTGCAGTGTGTGAGACTTGTTGGGAGGATGTGTAGGGGCTTGGCCAGAAGGTTTCTAGCCTTTAAGCTCTGTGAAAAGTCTCAGGGACAACCATCTGGGGCTTGGTCAGAAGGTTTCTAGCCCTAAAACTCAGTGAAGAGGCTCAAGGACAGTCATGTGGGGGGCCCAACATGATTTTTAGACCTCAAACTTCTTTTGAAATGCAGCGTGCATTTTACTGCCGATAATCGACCTAATTGCAGTGTGTGAGACTTGCTTGAGGATGTGTAAACCTTCTAGCCTTAAAACTCTGTGAAGGGCCTTAAGGACAACCATCTGGGGCTTGGTCAGAAGGTTTCTAGCCCTAAAACTCAGTGAAGAGGCTCAAGGACAGTCATGTGGGGGGCCCAACAAGATTTTTAGGCCTCAAACTTCTTTCGAAATGCATCACCAGGAATAAAGTTGCGTCGCATTTGTTTATTTTCATGTTGCGGAGGACGCGGAGTGCGCGAAAGTGCGTTTTCGCTGGCCTGGCTAGCGGAGGAAATAATCACCGGAATAAAGTTATCATACTTTAATTGTTCCGGACTGAGGACTTGGTGCAGGAGTCTACGGGGGAAGGGAGTCTGCGCAGGATTCTTGCAGAACTGATGCGGGGATGCGCAAGTGCGACGAACTTTTGTCTTGCCGCAGTCTAGGGCTTATATAGGGTTTATATTGGGGTTATATAGCATCTATTTAGGGTTTATATAGGGGTTACATAGGGTATAGACTGGGGTTTTATAAGGATAACGGAAAAGAAAAGGGAAGCTACTATATTGGCAGCTCAGTAGGAAAAGGCTCAAGTTAAAATCCGGTCATAACGGAGGTATATGATTGCACTAGTGCTTCGCCATATACTTCCCTCACTAAACCCTAAACCCTAAGCTCAAAACCCTTCACCTTAAACCGCATGCCTACGCAAGTCTGGGTGCCTATCAGGAATGGGGTTCCCTTTACCTTCTCCGTCAAGGTCAGAATTGGGAGAAACCTCTAAACCCTTGATCCATAGGCCCACATGCAACCCCCCCCATACTAACCCTCCCCTAGGTTCCCCCTTAACTAACCTTAAGTAGGCCAAATTATCCCAGAGTAATTTGATATAGGGGGGGTAGGAGGGGGACCCATAATTCATGAACCCTCAATCCTTGGCGCAATACCAAGACATGCCCACAGCTTCCAGTGTCCTGGGCATGCCAGGGAGGCTTGCAAGCTACTTCTTGAACTTGAGAATCCTGGGTTGGAACATGGTTCATCCTCTCCCCTAATAATGAACACCCATAGGTACTCATTCTTTGGGTTTAGGGTTTAGGGCTTAGGGTCCCTAATAATAATATCACCCAATAGTGGAGAATCAAATGGAAAAGAACATTGAAAATGAAATGGCAACCCTAAGTCCCTGTAAAGGGGTATATAGGGATATTACCCCAATAATGGAGAATCAAATGGAACATAAAATGGACAATAAAATGGAAACTGGGGGTATACAGCTTTGGATATTATACCCGTAGGTATTCATTTTTGGGTAGAGCAGCTTTGAAAAGGAGCTCCTGATTTTGATCCTGAGCCCTTAGCCCCGAACCCTAAACCCTATTGAGGGGAAGTGATAAAGGCGGTTGAGCTGGTGGTGATGATAACTGACATGGGGGGTTTAAAAAGATGGGGGTTCTAGGGGCCCCCAAAATGTGGGGCTCTAAGAGGGTTCTGGGGTCCTTGTCAGGGATTCTATAGGGATCATTTGGAGAAATATCGGCATCTCTGTTGTAGGAATGACTGACATCATGGTTGCTATTTCGTCATCGTTCTTCTTCTTCTTGCCACATGCCTCGCACTTCGCAAATAGGGGACCCCAACACAGACTCCAACATTCCGTAATCCTTATTCTTGGGACCCCCCCAACAGGGACCTCTGATTGTTGAAAACATGACACCTGGATATCCCTGTCTAATGGTTATACATCCGTATATATATATATATCCCCCTATAAGCTCCACAAAGGGGCTGGGAACTCCGAATTTCTGGAAACTCCCTAAGCCCCAAACTGTACGCCTGTTTAGGGCTAGGGTTTATGGTGTAGGGCAATGGGTCAGGAGGAAGCTGACCGAGCGAAAGACCTCGCGGATAAGCCTGCGGCTTACAACCACATGGAGGGTTTGGGGTTTCTGCTTTAGGTTCTAGGGTTATCAGTCCCTTTAAGGGGGTTACAGGGCGACGGATAAGGACGTGGGGGTTACATTTTTTTGGGGGGGTTTCGCGTTTCCAAAAAATCCGGGTAATGTTTTGGGTGCTCCCCATTCATCAGGAAAGTGGGTAATATGTTGTTTATATTGGGGTCCCAACCAGGTCTTAGAGTTGGACGCTTCTGATAAGAAGGGGACTCCAGGGACGTTGGGGGATTGAATGGTTTGTCGGGACTATCTACTTAAGGGGGGCTATATACTGGGATTGTTGGTATGCCATTTTGTTATTTTGCTATTGTTTTTGTTTTCAATCATTTTTGTGCGTTTTTGTGTAAAAAGTAGCCTTTTGCCAAGCGAACATGAAAACTCATAATATGGATGTTGTCAAAAAGGCAAGAGTCTACACAGGGCTTCATGTCATGTATGTTTGGGGCTCTTGGGAAGCTACGAAGAAATAAGGTCCCCCAAACTACCAGGTTACCACGGATTCGCAAAAGATGTCCTGCAAGGACTCCAGTACTTCTAGGAGGAGGCTATGCCTCTAAACAATCCCCCCAACCCTAAATCCTTAACCCTCAAGGGTCTAGGGGTTTGCCTTCCATTTTAGGGGAAGGAAGCCCTGAACCCTAAACCCTAAACCCTAAGATTCTGATGAAGTCGATGCTTGTCAGCTCATGCTTAGGGCTTCCAAGCCTACTCTCAAGCAATCCTATACAGGGTTTCTACAGGGTTACATAGGGATTATACGTTGTAAAAGGGTTATGGAGGTAATATAAAGATTACCTATAAACCCCAAATACCTTAACCCCAAACCCTACGAAATTTGTTGCAACAAGAAACCTCAAAAACCATAGCGCTTACCTCTGGTAGCACCCTGAACTTTAAACCCTGAATCATGCAAACCCTGAGGCATCTAGAGGTAAAGCAAGAGCTTGAGCGGCACAAGCAGCGAGCCGAAGTCGTTGCCTTGGGTGGGAAAGGTTTTGGGGTTTGGGGGGTGTAGTTTTTGGGGTCTAGGGCTTAGGGGTATGGGGGTTCGGGGGTTTAGGGTTTAGCGTAGGTTGTTTTGGGGTTTGAGGCATTGGCATGGAGGGTTTGTATCCCTAGATGCCCCTAGGTTTATGACATGTATAGGGTTTAGGGATGTGGCGTCCAGACTTTAGAGTTTGGCGTGAGGCTTACATTTTGAGGGCTCCGGGTTAAAGGTTTAGACTGAAAGAGCCTGCGTTGAAAAAAAGAGTAGGGATCCTGCAAAACGTTACCAATTTGTCACTGTGCAGAAGAGCAAACGGAGGCGATGGCTGCATCACAAAGGTACTTGCAACTCAATGATGTCAACAGCTACAGCAGCAGCAGCAATTTCTACAACCACAACCGTAACGGCCACTGCCTCCACCTCGACCATCACCGCCGCCACCACTCCCGCCACCGCCGTCACTCTCACCACCTGCCATAACTGCTTCCGCTCTAGTTGTAGTTATCGTGTTCCAGCTCCTGAGGCTCTTATAAGCCTTTCAGTAACCTCAGTTATCCCAAGTATTCATCCACTTACTAGTAGTCCCTACCTGGACCCCACATCTACCCTCTATAAGGGTTAAAGGAAGGTGTATTATTGTTACTGTGTTACATTCCTGAGGCTCTTGAGAAGGAGCGGGATCAGCAGGAAGAAGTTGCCAGACGTCACCAGGCTTGGCCCCGTCCCAGCGCAAACACGGCGCAAGCGCCCTTCGGGATCCTTGTAAGGGGTTGTAGGGACGTGTAGGGTTTAGGTTAAGGGGTGGGTTTAGGCTTTAGGGTTTGGAGATGTATAGGGTTGAGAGATTATCAATTGGGGTTTGGGGGTTTATTGTCCACGATTTCAAGGTCTCTTAAGTGGAGGGACATGGAGGACTCCAGGGATAGGGGTTGATTGCACATAGGGATCAAAGGGGATTGTCTCAAGGCTAAGGAATCGATCGTTTTTTAAATTCAATGCTAAACCGAGCTAGGCAGAGTTTTTACTGGGGAAACTGTAGTTCCCACAAAGACATGAATATGGAGCTGGGCTGTCGATTGTTGGTTGAAGGGTATAATTCTATAGTGCATGCAAGGAATTTTGCACCACCTCTTATACCCAGTACCCTAGGAATTACAGTATTTAGGGTTTAGGGTTTGCGGT